TAAGTAGATTGTTAATTATAAAAGTATGTATATATAAATAAAGATTAATTAAATACAATATAATTATTATTAGTAATATAATTATTATATATATTATTATATATTTATAACGGTCCGGATATACCAAAATGATAAGGATCCAAAAATAATATAAGTATGAGACTAGATAGTTGAGGATGACTTAAATGAATTAATTTGTACTACTTATACTAAAAACATGCATTTGCTTTTCGGTAACTTATCTCATAAGAACTTCACAGTTAAGCGTGCTTGACTTAGAGTAATATAGGGATGGGTGACTTTCTGGGAAGTTTCCAAAAATTGTGTAATTAAGGACAAAACATGCTAAATACTTATGAAATAAAATCTTTAAGAGGCCAAATATGAGTGGTTCATAGCGACCAAATTTGCGACGTCTATAAAATTTAATAATAATAAAAAAAATATTTAGCGACCAATTTATTCGGTCACTAATTTGGTCTCATATACTTCAACGACCAAAATCATTTCAACCATTTAGCGACCGAAAATTTTTTCGTCGCTAAATAGCTTAGCGACCAGGGTTTTAGCGAATGATTGAATTCGGTCGCTAAGGTAAATAGCGACCGATTTTTGCAATTTAGCGACCGATTTTGGTGGTCCCTAAATTGCATATTTTTTGTAGTGTTTCATTTCTACGCTCTCTAAAGATCAAGGAGAATCAAGAGAGTGATACCAACTAGATTCTGCTCAAGCTTCACCTTTTTCTCATCAAGGTAAGGGAGAGTGAAACCTCGCTTGGGGGTGTGAGAATAATTGTCGGGTAACAGGATTGACTCCCAATCCCTTGCTTGATGCATGCTTTTAGGAACAAACAAAATATGAATGTTTTCTGTTTTGATGTATGAGTTTTCTGTTGTGTTCCTTGTTGGATGTGATGCGTGAATATGTGTTTAATTTCTAAATTAAGTAAGTTTTGGTATGAATTAGAGTGCTCTATAGGTTCCCGTGGGAAACCCTATGAGAAACAATTAGGGGTATGATCTTTTGACAAGATTTAAGGTATTTTATGTAAAATTGAGAATGGATTTATGTTCTAGGTGTTATTTGGAGGACTTTTACCGATTGATTTATATGATTACATGTTTGTTGTGAAAAATCGTCTGATTTCAAAGTGTAGGTTCGCACTAAGTGCACCGAGCACAGTTCTTTGTGCCAGGCGCAAATTCATAGTTTCCCAAGAAAAGTTGAGCCGAGCTCAGTAAAGTTGTGTCGGGCGCAAGAAAGGTGCGCCGGGCGTAGTAAAGCCACGTCGGGCGCATGTGAAGCTGCGCTGGGCGAGATTCTCCGCTTTATGCACGACATTAAATGCACCGGGTGCGAGTTGGGGCATGCCGGGCGTGATCCCTATGATGTTTTATATGTTTTATGTCTAGTTTGATGGTGCAAATTGTGTGGGAATTGCCTTATTGCTGTGTTAACATAAGTGATGTTTTTTTTAGACATGGTGTGAAATACGTGCTATTATGAACATTATGACTATGAGAATATGAAACGTGATGAAATGAGATAAGACATGAGATTCCATAACAAGTAAAGTGATAAGTCCATGAAGTGTGAATGTGTGTAACATGCATCATGTGCATCTATGTGAAGGGTACAATATGGAGTACACTGTTAGGAAAGGCCCTCCTTGTGTAACAACTTGGGGGAGTCTTAGGTGATAGTGCGGTTTAGATGTCTCGATTATGCCCATTTGTGAGCACGAGACGTAACTTGTGCAACTTTGCTATCCCGACCAGACCCTAGCAGTGCATCCTTCTAGTTGAGAGTGTATGGGTAGCTCCCTACATGTACTCCTAGACTACCTTAGGTGTGTTGTGTGACAGCCTCTACCCCTATAATACAAATAACAAAATTGAAATAACAATTTTTTTTTCAAAATTGAAATACCAAACATGTTTAAATAAAGGGTACCACATCCATAACTTAAACGGTAGCTTAATCAACAAAAATTACAAGGAATTAATATAAAGCTTTCCAAAACAATTTAATAAAGTCCTATCTACGCCCCGATATTACATGTCCTATCAGAGCAAATCCCAATATAGAAGCCTAAGTTTCATCACCAACATCCTCAGCCTTATGCTGATAATTACCTGTAAGACAGTCAAGGAAAACAACACAAGAGAAAAGGGAGTGAGAAACATCTCACTCTGGCTCACAGTGTAGAAATATACGCCAGATAGCCAAACACAAACAAAACAGGTATAACATATATAAATTAATAATAACATCACATCTCACTCATCCAAGACATATTAATTCTTCATATAACATTAAAATGCACATGTAAGGACACGAACTACATTTTATCATGCATGTAGCGCCAGTAACATATCACATGGCATATTGCCGCTAGCAATACACGAATAGTAGTCTAGGAGTACACGCCGGGTCACACCCTCTGCGCACTCTCACTAGAAGGACATACTACCAGAGTCTCGTTGGGATAGCTAAGTCGTGCAAGATACATCTCATGCACACAATGGGCGGGACTGGGACTTACAAACCGAGCTATCCCCAAGGACTAATCCCCAAAGCTTTTACACTAGGGGGTCTTCTTTGGCAGTGTATTCCATATCGTACCCTTAAAAACATTTATGCACATGATGCATGTCAATCAAGACGCGATGCTTTTCTCATATCATATTATCATGTCTCATTATCATGTCTCATTATCATATCACATTTCATGATCACGTTTCATCATCACGTTTCATCATCATATTTCATTACCATATCACATTATCACATGTCATTCACAATTTTCACAGAGCAGTTTAATCCATATTAAAACTTGTCTATTTTCAAAATTAAACACATATTTACACTCCATAAACATCAAGGAACACAATAGAAAACTCAGGGGATAAAACAAAAAACATTTAAAATTTGCCTGTTTCTCATAGGGTTTTCACAGGAATTCACATAGCACTCTAATTCATATCAAAACTTGTTTATTTTCAAAATTAAACACATATTCATTCATCTCATTCAACAAGGAACACGATAGAGAAATTAGAGAGTGAAACAGAAAACATTCACATTTTGCCTGTTAAAATTACAAATTCATTCCCTTAGAGTTTCTCATAGGAACCCATAGAGATCTCAAAATTATACATTTATATTTAGATAACATGCAAAATTTGTCTATTTCTCATAGGGTTTCCCGTAGGAATCCACAAAAATCTCAAATCATACAATTAATTACATACAAGAGGAACAATAAATGAAATAGATACAATTGGGGAAACCCCCTCATACATGAGCATACAACAAACATAGGATCGGAGGCCAATCCCACTGCCCAACATACATTCCCACACTCAAAGCAAGGTTTCTCACTCCCCCCTTACCTCAATAAGGAGTTGAAACTAAAGTCGAATCTTGCTAGTCTCCTCCTCTAGGTTCCCCTGGGTCTTCAGAGAGTGTAGAAGAAAAAATAGGACAGAAGTGAAAAAGTGCATTTTGGAGTGCCAAAACGTTTTATTTATAGGCATGAGATGTGGCCAGAACGACCCGTTTCGAATCCGGAATGACCCGTTCTGGAATCATTTATCATGCGTAAATTTCATATTCAGGACGACCTGTTCCAAAACTAGAACGGCCCGTTCTGAATTTACATTTTACCCATAATGGCCATGATTGGAACGGCTTGTTCCCAAATTAGAACGGCCCGTTCTAGGTTTGAGTTTTACTCATAAAATTCTATGTTGGAACAACCCGTTCCAACATAGTCTTTATAGGCTATTTTTGTAGTTTGGAACGGTCCGTTGCAGTTTGAGAACGCTCTGTTCTGGGCTACTAAAAATTAAAATATTACAAAAATAATTTTCATAAATATTCATTATTAAAATACTAATAATTATTAAAAATCCTTTAAAACATTCTATAAAACCCATTAAAATATCTATAAGAAAATAACCTCCATAAATATAAAAATAAACAATAATTAACCTATTATACTAGTAGAAAATTTAGGATGTTACAATTTTCTCCTTCTTTTTGAAAATTTGTCCCCAAAATTTAATGCAACAGAAATGGGTAGACTTCTCGCATCTTTCTTTCTAAATATTCCCCATCAGAAACTATACTAGTAAAAATATCTTGTGTAACCTCACTACCTATCACTTCGTGAGGCATCTATGCATGTTGCTATTCTATGTTGTATTTGGTCAAGATAATAATGTTGATAGTGCTTAATTTTGCTATGGTAATGAAGATATTTCGTGATACTGTGGTTTTAAGTAATTCTCTTTATACATGCCATGCCTCTGCTGATGTGCTCTATTATTGATTAACATATAGTTCCATGCTTTTGACTTCCGCACTACAACAAGAAACGAGCCTTTTTTGCAACTTTTTCACTGCCTGTATGTGTATCCGTTGACTGTAAGTTTGGGTAGGAAAAGGAATTTGTTTATACGGGTTGAACTCAGGGAGGATGATGGTGATATTCGTAGGCAGCCATTGGAGGTAATGACCTTTATTTTGTGTTCTTAAGGAAAGTCATGGCTCAAGCTATACTTCCTTCTTATTTGTCTTGGGTGACTCAATCTGCGTAGGCAATATATCCTAGAGATCCAGGTCTAGATGCATCATTTCAGAAGTGGGGTCACACCCAAGTTGCTGCTGGGGCTAGGGTTGCTTGCTACCACGATGAAATTAAACTTTCCCTTCCTGCTACGTGGACGCCAAATCACCACCTTTTATTTACTTTATTTCATGTTGATCTGCAAACAAAATTGGAAGCTCCTAAGCCAGTAAGTTCATTTATGTGTTCCACTGAATTCATTGTTTTTTCATTCCTGCCTTTATTGCTTGTGTCTGTACATATGGATTGTTTTGAATTGATTATGCTTTTTAATTTTTGACAGGTGGTTATTGGATATACAGCACTTCCTTTATCATCCCATGCTCAGTATGTTCTCTTAATTTGATAATTTTCCCTTTGGTTATATTTAAATATTTATTTTATTAATTAATGATAGCTCTTGGTTTATTGCTTTGCATAGTGAAACCAAAATGTATTGATTACCATAGAAATCTTAATTACAATTTTAATGACCATGGTATTGATGCAAGCTGGGATCTAAAATTTTACGTCTGATGAAAATATTTACTTCTTTTTGTACTTGCGTGGCATGCTGATTTTATCTCTTTTCTGGTGTTATACATGAACATATTAACTAATAATTCAAACTGGCAATATGAAAAGTTGTTCAGATTTTAGCATATGTGCTTATGTAATGAGTTGATCCTAAGTTATCCAATGAGCACAAATTTGAATGAGTCATGTTGCATGTATGCTAATTAACCAAAGTACAGCATTTAAGGGATTATTTTCAGAAAAAGCATTAATCACCCATATTGCATTGGAAATCTTTATTTGCAACATCTTTTATGCTAATGCCTCTCTTGTAGGTTTGGTTTCCCTCTAGATGATAATTGATATTTCATTGCTGATGTGATTCTTCATTTTTGTTTTCCCTGATTCCTATTTTCCTTTCTTATTGCAAGTACTAGTTATGTCTTGAAGACTTGGTGCTTATTTGGATTTGTGTACTTTGTGGCCAAAAAGTTTTATTTTCTTTCTGCTCAGTTCTTAAATAGCCTTTTAAGAAGTTCCTGTAAAAATGGTTACCAAACATGCCCTTATACTCTTAACATGATATATGACAGCTTATGCTTTTGTGTTCTCTGCAGGCTGCGGTCGGAAATAAATCTTCCAATTATGAGAGAATTGGTTCCTCATTATCTCCAGGATGCAGGACGGGTATGTGTAACTGTCTGCCTATACATGTAAATTAACTTGCATGTATTCTTCACCCTTTTCTCTTTGAGTACTGTGAACCAATGGGTATGTTTGGATGGTGGATGGGAAGGTTTACTTAAAACTTTTCTCTTGTTTAAGAGTTCTACAAAATGGTGAAGAAAATGAAAGATATTCATGTAATCGTTCAAATCCCTGTTTATAACATTTAAGTTGTTGCAATTTTTGAGGATATTAAATATTCCAAGACACGGAACAAAACTTATTAGGATGCTGCTTCATGCATCAGTGAACTTATGATATGGTTGTCTAATTATTGTAAATTTGTAATGATGGTTACTGGTCTTGTAATTGTAATGTTATGCATAATATTGTATTGTACTGCAGCTGGCTTTATGCGGCTCTGGATTAGTTTCTGTTATTATATTTATGAATTTTGAACATAAAGTCATTTTATATTTTGGTTTCTTATTTTATGATAGGAGAGATTGGATTATTTGGAAGATGGGAAAAGTGTCTTCAGATTGCGTTTAAGGCTATGTTCTTCTTTATACCCTATCAATGAACGCATTAGAGATTTCTTTCTTGAATATGATCGGCACACTCTTCGAACAAGTCCGCCATGGGGTTCTGAACTTCTGGAGGTATCATTCTTGTCTAGCTTTATTTTTGTATGATTTTGGTATTCTTGTTTATCTTATTTGTTTATTCTGGACTTATGTAGATATCATTTTATATATGTTGAACTCACTGTTGGGGGCTTATTCCATTCTAGAACTGGAGGAGATATCTTAGATCTTTTTGACTCAGTTTGTGTATGTCTATGCATACTTGCAATATGCTTGATATGATGTCTCATTGGCCTTTTTTTTTATAAAATAAAAAAATAGTTCAGTTATGCAATAATGAAAAACAGTTGTTGGAAACCATAAATCATCTATGCCTCTCTTCTTTTCATTGTTTTAACACATGCTGGTAAATTGTATGGTTTTATTTTATTTTATTTTATTTTTATAGTGAATTACTTTGTTGCCTTTTTACAGCTCAATAGGGATAAATTTATAGATTTGGTTTAAGTTTCTTTGATAGGATAATCAATGGAATGGAGAACAGTGAAAAAATTACAATTTTTGATGGTATCTCAATTCTCCATTGACCTGCTGTCAGGTGTTCAATACATATAGTGGCTTTCCAAACTTCTCAATTACAGGCATAAAATCTTTAAATACAAGACCCTTTAATGGATTCAAAAAGTTGTCCAATATAACAATAAAAAGATACTTGTCTTCCTAACACAAATTAACATTTCTCTCTCAAAGTCAACATTCCTAACCCTTAAATTGATATTGAAGAAAACCTCACTATCTGAGCATATAATGTACCAATGGAGACCGGAAAAGAAAAAAACATAAATAACTAGTGGTTTTTTTGTCAATAAAAATATTTAATAGAATTGATTTGTTTTGTTCCATTTGGTTCCACCTTTTACAGTCCATGTTCTGTTGTTATTTTCATAAAATGAATCAAGCATAGGATTAGGATAGAACATGTGTTATGTTCTCTTCTATACACACATGCCAAATGCTACCTTAGTTTTATATCTAGCATGCCTTCTCACGCCAAAGGGCTTGAAGCTTGGATAATGCTTATGCCTACTCTTTATTTGCTGAAATTCAACCTAGTTGGAATGGGATTGGCAGTCTTAGATAAATTTCAGCGAGAAAATATTAAACTGTAAATGGAGTTTTCATTTCATTCAGCCCACCAAAAACAGAATACAGAGGGAGCATCTATAGTAGCTACCCTTGTTGGCACAGCTGTAAAAAGTTGATTACAAAAATAACAAACTGTGGCAGCTGGCACAACAAACCTAGAATATTCTGTTGATATAGCAGAATGAAAAAGTGATATTTTTCATATTACACTCTATTACCCCCCTTAAACTCAAGGTGGAGGTTTGTCAGAAAAACTCTTCACATTGAGTTTGCCTCTAATTAGTTCAAATCTGGCTGTAGAAAGGAGCTTGGTTAGCACATCTGCCCATTGATCCAAAGCTGGAATGTGATAAATCAGAAGCTGCTTGGATAAAACCTTTTCTTGAACAAAAAAGACATCAGTTTCCATATTTTTAGTTTGATTGTGAAAGACAGGATTGTGAGCAAAAGCTACTGCACTTTGGTCATCATAGAGCAGAAGAGGTGTAGAAAAAAGAACCTGAAGTTCCTGTAACAAAGCTTGAACCATGGCTAACTCAGCTGAGGTCTGACCTATACTGCGATATTCAGCCTTGGTGCTGGATCCGGCTCTAACTTGTTTTCTTGACCACCAAGAAATCAAGTTAGGTCCTAAGTAGAACTAGAGGTAGATCTTCTGTCATCAATATCATAAGCTCAATTAGCATTACGTATAACTGTGATTGATAAAGGTCTTCCAACCATAGTAGTCAATCCCGGATAGCGGAGTGGAGCGGTCGACTCTAAAAACGGGATAGCGGGATGACGCGGAGCGGGATAACCGCTATTTTAATATTAATTTATATATATTAAATAATTAATAATATA